TTTACTAAGGTACAGTTATAGTGTCTCTTTAAATTCAAAAATGTTCTTTGTTGTTTTATTGCATTTATCATTTAATTTTACTTATAATTCATCTTTGTTTTCTTGATTAAATTTGCTAGAAGCTTATCTATTTAATTCATTCTCTCCAAAAAGAATTTAGCCCTTGGCTTCATACTATATTGAATTCTTATTCATGTAATTTTATTCTTCATTTTTAATAAAATATTTAAGGATATGAATTTACTTCTGAATACTGATCTCAAAGTTTTGATATGTCATGATCTCATTTTCATTATTTGTATTAGTCTGCTAATGTTTATTTGAGCTATTACTAGCATTTAAATATGTTCTGAAATATTCAAGGAACCGATGATTTTTGTTTAAATTTGTAAACATTGTATATTATTATCAAGGCCAATGTGCTTTCTATTTTGAAGAGTTTACAAAAGTCTTTGTGGCATATGTGGTCATTTTTTAAGAAACTGTTTTCTTAACATTTTAAAAGAGTTCTGTATGCACTACCTGTTAAATACGTTTTTTGAAACTTATTAGATTGAATGAATTATGTCTTTCAAATGTTCTACATATTTATTTTCAGTCCACGTTGTCATAGTTAAATCATGTTAAAGTCTCCTAGACATTTCCATATTTTTTCTTTTTGCACTGCAATGCTTCTAAATATTCTTTACATATATAGATGCCATATTTTGCAAAAAAAATAGTTCATGAATACAATATCTTCAAAAATGGCTTGTATCTTCTATCAATATAAAATGAATCTCCTGAGAATAACATGATCATATGATTATTATTCCTGATATATTTCTTTTCACATAGAGAAGTGACATGCTCAGATGCCTATTTGGAGAATGGATTGATTGGAAGGAGGTGAGACTGAATGCTGAGAAGCCAGTGGGAAGGCTCTGAAAATAGTTCAGGTGAGAAATCGTGAGTGATTGAATTAAGACGAAGGCAACAGAGAGGATTTTCAGCAGATTAAAAACATCAAGATTTGAAGTTACTTGGACTGCAGGAGGTGAGGAGAGAGAAGAGTTGAGGTTACACCTAGACTTCTAACTTGACCATTATCGAAAAGGCAATATAGGAGGAAGAGCTGGGTTGGCTTTTCAGAATGGACAATTTTCTGAATTTCGTTCTCTTTATGTTCATTCTCAAAGGACTCAAGCCCAGACCTAAGGCTCAGTTTTGGGTCTTGTCAGTTGATTGCTTACTCAAAGCAAAGTCCCTCTACCTTTGTACAAAACACTAGGATGAAATTCATAAATTACAGGGAAATCGCATTTGTTTAATATGCTAACAGCTCTTTCATAAATTTGAGGGGAAAAAAAACCAGACTAAACGAGAAGGAATTAATTTCCTATGCCATGCCCAGGGTAGTCCATATGTGAAGGTTAAGTTTTCCACAAGAGGGCAGCATCACCTCATAAATTATGCATTGAACGCCTCCACCAATAAGGGCTGAGGTGGGGAGCAGAAAGGGTAGACAATGTAGGTTCAGGGAGCCATAGGGCCTGCCACACTATGAATAATCAAAGGCCCTGTTATCTGCAAGGCCATAATTATCACCACTCCTAGGCGACTGGCAGTGGCAGATGTTGCTACCTCAGGGGGAAAGAAGACATGGAGCTTGCCAAAGGAGGATGGGTGGGTGAAACAAGGAAATCCTCACACTCCTGTGACTGGCTCAGAAGCTATTCTGGATGGTGCCCATACTCCCTCCAAGTGTATCTCTACAGCCAGCATCTCACAGGGGCCTGTATGTCTTGTTTACATCTTTACCGCCCCTAATGGTTTCCTAGCAAATTACACTCTCAGTAGGTTAGGTTGCAAAGCATACTATGGTTCTGCTATTTGATCCATTTAACAATGTTTGGTTACTCCAGTTATGCTCCTTTATACCCTAGGGAAAGGAATGGAACTGAAATTCCCAGAGAAACCATTATGTAAAAGGCATTTTGTAAAAATTGTCTCATTTAATCATCATAATAATACCATTAAACTACCAATTACTATTTCCCATGTGACTGAAACAGGAAGTTGCATACATGAGTCTATCGGACTCCAAAACAAAAACTCTTATTAAGCTTCCCCTCCAAGTTCCTCAAAAAGCTCAACACAGAACCACCAAATGACCCATTTATACCACTCTTTGATATTTATCCAAAACATTAGTCAGAATACTATAGCAATATATTCATACCCATATTTATAGCAGCATAATTCATAATAAGTAAATTATAGAACCAGCATAGGTATTGTCCAGAGACAATGGATAAAGAAAATACTTCTCACTCTCTCTCATTCTTTCTCTCTATAGATAGATAGATAGATAGATAGATATAAACACATGGCTGTGTGTGGGGGGGGCAATGGACTTTTATTGAGCCATGTAAATGATATTATGCCATTTGCAAGAAAATGGATGAAACTGGAGAAAATCATGTTAAGTAAAATAAATCAGACTCAGAAAGTCAAAGGTTATATGTTTTCTTTGTTATGTGGAAGGAAAGGAAAAAGGAAAAAATGGATCTCATGAAAATAGGAGAACAATAGAGCAGAGGATGGAGATCAGAGGGAGGGAAGAGGGGAGGGTAAGAGTCTGAAGTTGATCAAGTTATGAGTATGTATGAATATGTCACAATTAATTCCATCAATTATAGACAATTATGCATCAATAATTTTTTTTCAAGATCTACCTCTTCAGGGTGGGATTGTGGCTCTGTGGTAGAGCACTCACCTAGCATGCATGAGGTACTGGGTTTGATCCTCAGCACCACATAAAAATAAAAGTATTGTGTCTGTGTACAAATATATATACATATATATACTACCTCTACAATAAATCTCATTTATAACTTAAACCATGACTAATCCAAGACTAAATCCATGATAATGTTATTGCACAGTATAAAATGTTATTCAGGTACACACATGTATAGGCATAGCTTAATTTTACATACTAGAAGGCAATACAATCAATAGGATGCTATATAACCTCTCCTTCTTAACCTCAAACCATTTCCCCCTAAGTAGTCTCTCTTTAGGATAAATAATTTGGATATAGGAACATGAGAACAATGGAATAATTGAAGAAAGTTCTGTTTTTCTAGTTTAGTTGGCTCAGGGATTTATGGCCCTGGTCATTGAGATAAGCTTGGATAGATAAGATAATGTGTTAATTTTGAGCATGCTGTGTTTGAAAGGCTTTGGAGACACCTAATTATAAATGTCCAGTTGGAAGTAGCTTACGTCATTTGAGACACAAGAGAGATAGTCATCCACAAATAGATACAAATTAAAGCTAGAGGATGGGGTGAGACTTTCCACAGTAAATTAATGAAGTTAGAAAGGGTGGAACTGGGGAAAACAGCAGCATTTAAGGGACAGTCAGGGGAATAGCATGTAGTAAGAGCCTGGTTAAGAAATGGACAAAGAGGTAGGAAAAGAACAAAACATCAGGGTATCTGGAAAGTAAGAATTTCCTAAAGGAGGACACAATCTTGGAATTGATGATATCAAATGGCATGCAGAAATCATAGTTGATGAAGATTGAAAATAATCCATTGTCTTTGACAACTAGGAGATGATTTGTGTGTATTTTGACAGAGTTGTTTCAGTGAAGTTCTGAGGATGGGAAGCTAGATGGCAGGTGAAGAGGTGGAGACAGTGAATATAGACTGAGTTTGAGGCTAAGTTTGAACCAAAGGAGAAAGATGGGGTAGTAGCAGCCAGAACGAGAAGTAGGATCATAGGAAGATGCTTTTAAATTTTTTCTCCAATAAAAATAATTAAGATAAAGGACTTAGGCATATATCTCGAATAAAGGAAACCATCCACTACAAAGGGAAAAGCCTGGGCTGGGGTTGTGGCTCAGTGGTAGAGCACTTGCCTGGCATGAGTGAGGCCCTGGGTTCGATCCTCAGCACTACATAAAAATAAATAAATTAAATAAAGGTATTATGTCCATCTACAACTAAAAAAATATTAAAACAAAACAATAGGAGAAGTCGGAGTGCCAGTAATACAACGTAGAGATGCAGCAGCAAAATGAAAAGCCATGGGACTAGGGATGTGGCTTGGTGGTCAAGTGCTTTAGCATGTGCAAGGCCCCAGGTTTAATGCTTAGTACTGAAAAAAAAAAACCAAAAAGCAGTCACATAGACTAAGCATAATGACTGAATCCAACAACGTGCTTCCCTTCCTTCTGCTTATGTCTCTGCACTTACCTGGAGTGTCTCCCTTTCTGATGGTTTCTTATTCAGATTCTGCCTGCCCTTTAGCTCAAAGTTCACGTCCTTTCTAGACTCTTACCCTATCAATCTAGTCTGAAGTGATCTCATTTTCTTCTTAACAGCAATTTCTATCTGAACAATCCATTTAATGATCACACGCCACCCTGTAAAACCTCCTTTACTGCTTTCTTTAAAAAAAAAGTATTGCTAATCAGTTGCTCATATATGTGTCTTTTCTCCAGTTTTAGACTGTACAGTCCTCAAGGGCAATGTTTCTATCTTAGAATTTGCCACAGCCCCCAGAGTGCCTACCTTGAGTGGCAATATGGTCTCTTTAACATTCTGTGTATGTGAAAATGAACCCCATGATTATGTACAGTATAATGCACTTAATAAAAACTCTATTGATAATGTAGTTGAACAGTGGCAGCCTGTTATGAAGGACATGGAAAAATGCTGTCTGAGGTAGGCCCTAAGTGCATACTGAGCAATTTAGTCCTCTATAGTAAATAGGGAAACTGAGTCTTGCAGAGGCACAATAAATGTATCTGACATGATATGGCTGGTATGTGGCACTGCCAGGATTTGCACCAAAGGTTCTTTTTCTTATGCCAGTCTGCTTTAGTTGTCCACAAAAGTCTGTCCATGTGATGCACCTCTCTCTTTGATGATAACGACAAAGATGTGACTCTATTGAGATTTTCATACCAACCAAGTATTTCAGTGGCCTCTGCACCTGTACCTTACCTCCTGACAATCAGCTTGAGGATCCGGAAGGAGCCTTTGATGAGGATGAGAGCTTCTTGGCGGGAGCCATACAATGGAGTGCCATTGATATTCACCAGCTCATCACCAGTCCTCATCTTCTGGGACAAGGCTGCCTTGCCTCCATCTTCAATCTGTGTTGCAGAGAACAAAATAGAAAGCAGGTGGTGAGGGGACTTCCTCCCCATAATTCTACTCCTTGGTTCCTCCCAATCTTGGAACTACAGGTAGGATAGGGAATGGCTCCAGGAAGCTTCTGGGAGCAGCTGAGTTGATCATAGGCAATTATTTCCTGAAGGAAACGCTTGGGTAAACCTTTAAAGAAGGAGTCAACTCAGAAATAATGCAATCCCTGCCTGGAGGAATGAACAGTCCATCTGGAAAAACAAACACTTCTAAGCCGGGTGTGGAGTGCACATGTGTAATCCTAGCAGCTCAGGAGGCCGAGGCAGGAGGATTGTGAGTTCAAAGCCAGCCTTAGCAATTTAGCAAGGCCCTAAGCAACTTAGAGAGACCCTGTCTCTAAATAAAATATAAAAACAGCTGGGGATATGGCTCAGTGGTTAAGCACCCCTGGGTTCAATCCCCGGTACAAAACAAAACAAAAATAAACCCTGCTTCTAAAACAGAAAATGACATTTGGAAGGAACCCCAGAGTATGGCTAAAGTAGAAACATGGCACTGAAAAATGCACACAAAATTAGAACCAGATGAGATAGGCTTCAATGAAATTTGGCAAATCCTTTCCTATCTTTGGGAAGGCCTTGAAATCTGATAAACTTGACTTTGAATTCTGACCCTACTACTTTGTAGCTGTGTGATCCTAAGCAAGTTACCTAACACCTCTGTGTTTCAATTGCCTCATGTGTGACGTGTAGATAATAAGAATACCTACCTCACAGGGTGGTTAGTATTGGAAGTGTCTGAGAGCATTAAGTCCTTACAAAATATGATCTCAGATTATTATAATAGTCGGTTGACTAAAGCCCTTGAAGGTGGCTCCCAGCTCAACATTCTGCAAATGCACTTGCAAATTCAAAAGATATGACGTAGGTATGAACAATGTAGCTGCTCATTTATCTACATCTATTCAAATGTCTAGCATAGTGCTTCCAATCCACATGTAGGCATTCAGTAAAAACTGGGAATATGGGTATTTATTGTTCTACCATAGCCCACAGATTTCCATGGACCAATCTCAATGAAAAGGTTGTCAAGCTAGGGCCACTGAAAGCAAAGCCAGAAGTAATAGTTATTTGGGTAGGCAAAAGCAAAGCAGGATGTCCCCCAAGTTTTCTTGCTATGGCTAATTTTATATGTAACATTCCTTTTAACACAAAGGTGACTTCTGCCTATTACAGTATCAATTCCATTCATGGTGAAAGCAGACATATATCTATTAACTCATCCCTCAAGTATTTAGTGAATTTTTATTACGCATAGAACAACATACAAAGTGCTAGAGATACAGAAATGAACTCTTAGCCTCAGAATTACTGTCTAAAGTTTATGGAGATGGTCAGGTAAAATAAAATCCAAAAAGGAGCTAAAGATGATTAAGTCATACAGCCCTTAGGGGAAAGTTTATTTTAAAGGGGGCAACTAGGGCTCATCTTCACTGAAGGTGGTATTACACTTACTTCTACTCTTGTTCTAACTTTCCTGTCAGTCTTCTGTAGCATGTCCCCAGTCTATCCTCATACCCTGGAAGTTAGAATATTGCTGAGTTTTAGGTTAGCCAGCTCATGTGTAATTTGGCAGATAAGATCTGAGTGTAGAGAAAAATGCTAATTCAGGATTTTTAAACCCCCATCAAATAAATTGAACTTCTGGGTTAAATCACAGACTTGTTCAATGTATTACTGCTAACCCAACATTTTTTAAAAAATAACCTTTCTGAAAAATCATAGGTTGACTATGTGACATTAAAGACCTATTTGAAGACATATATGTATGGCCCAGTTTCCAGTACAAAGATAGATAAAGATATATAGATATATCTTTATATAAGATAATGTGTACATTATCTTATATAAAGATATATAAAGATAATGTGTACATTATCTTATATAAAGATATAAGATAATGTGTACATACATGTATGGAGATACACACACACACCACACACCTGGGCCTGGGCTATATATATATATATATATATATATATATATATATATATATCTTTGTGTGTATATATACATAAATATATCTATATATACACATACATTATATATCTCACACATCTGGGAGATATATATATATATATATATATATATATATATACACACACACACAAACATGCATATATGTATATATGTGTATATGTTTGTATGTATACTACACATATCGTTGTTCTGGCACCTGGGCCACCACTCAAAACAAAGCAAGCCAATATTGGTAAATGGGAAACAACTCTTAGCAAATTAATTAGGATTATACTCTTACTTCCATTGCCATTATCAGTGTTACTTCACAGACACTGCTGCCTGCTGGGAGAAAAAAAATAAAGGGTAAAGGAAAGCAAAGTGCGGTACTTGAATTTCATAAGTTCTATTTGAATGACTCATTACTTTGGCATCCACAGAAGGCCCTCAGCATCAGGCAGAACTTTCAACATGGATCAGCCATTTGAAAGGGCTTCCTGAGGCTAACAAAGAACCATAAACAGAAGTCTAACTAATGAATGCTAATAGATTTTCCCTGTTGATGTACATTAGCCTTAATTCACTCTTACCCATTTTTTTTATTCATACAACTCAATTATCCATATTACTGTTACTCATAACAAGTCTTTCCTTCAATATGTATTGATATTAAGTACTGCCTTTGGTTAATTAAGCACTAGGTTACATCAGCAAGATCTCTGTTTATTCTCGGCCAGAAAATGAAAGAGGGAAACCTTTTAAACTAAAATGCTTAATTATTGCTGCAGTGAAAGCTCAGACAGTTGCTTTCCCTACTGCCACTTTAGCTGCCACTACCTGAGATCTTGCAGAGATTCATTCTTGAATTATAGCCACAGGTGGACGGTGCCTCTTTTTCTGTTCCATGGCCCTTCTCAGTCACCAGCAGCATCTTCCTCAGGATGGATATGTTGAGTGTACTCATGCTTCTCTAGTACAAGCATGAGCCAGCAAATTTGGGGTGCCCAGCACAATCCCAGAGTCCAGAGGATCCAGATCAGGAATGAGACTCCGTTTGGTGGGAGATCCCTAGGACTATACCCCAAGCTAGCCCTTTTCCACATTAGGGTATTTATTGAGCTGTACAAATGACTCCGTACTCCTCCAGGCTTTTGAGTCCACTTTTATTGCTCACTAGTCTCTCCACCCCGCGCCCCTTCCTGTTACTGTTTGGCTTTCTGACAACTAGTTCTCCAGGTCAGTGGCTCAACCACACACTTGTTTATATGGAAAACAAAGCAGATGTTCATGTTTCTAGCAAGGAAAAAAGAAAAGGAAGAAAGAACAAATAGCAGGGGAAGAGGGAGGGAAAGAAGATATATAAATATAGATATGGATACAGAAACTGATATAGATATTTCTATAAAAGGTTTTATTTTCCCCTTCGCACCACTCTCTAACTCTGGCTGGGGCCCAGGAAAGGTGTGAATCAACTCACTTGTTGAAATTAACATACCCTGCTTGTAGGGCTGTGTAATATCATATGATGCTGTCAGTTCAGTGAGGCTGGTCAATTTTCCAGCCCTTCCTGAATCAAACCTTCAGGGTGGCTATCCTGTTTCATTTGAAGTGCTGTGACTTCTCAGATTAGACCCAGATGCACTAGATTGTCAGTATAAACACATAGCACAAAGCTCAATGTAAACGATGGTTAACTTTTGCGTCATTTTGGATTATCCAAGTGATCACTGGGCTAGCAGTGAGTGACCCAAGTAAATGAAAATTTATTGCATTGAGGGCACAGAACCAAAAGCCAGATGGTGTCTGGAAAGCTGGAAAGAGATGACTGACCTTGGACAAGTCCCTTTCCACTCTCAAAGCCTCTCTTACCCTTACTGGTAAAACACAGGGGCCTGACTAGATGATCTCTTGGGGGCACTGACAGCTCTATGCCTTTACAGTTCTGACATTCAGTGACCTGTGAACAGTTAGCAAAGTCATGCATTATCCTGCTGCTGACACAGATAATCCGGGATTTTCTCCCCATTGTACTTTGCTTTTACCGTGTTTCACTCCTTCGAAACTGACTAATTAACATCCATCTCTCAACTCCCCTAGGTCTTTATCCATTGTTTCAGAGTGGTCCACCAAGGTTGGAACACTTAATAAGGCATGTTTGGGACAATGAGAGAAAAAGATTCCTGAAGCTCCATTTTGTGCTAATGAGCTGGTGATTTGGAAATTTTTGATGGGTCTTCAACGAAGCATGAAGTACTCTGACGGCTGTCAACAAAGTGACAAGTTGGCCCTTTGAGAGTAAAGGCAAAGAAAAATGGGCTTAGCAGCATTTACTGGCTTCTTAGTAGCTTTTATTTTATCAAATACAAGCAGATACTTGCCTGGTCTTTAGAACAACCTTGGAAGATATGCAAAAGGAAAGGAAAGAAATATGAGATCAGGTTTAAATTTTAAAAATGCTTTTAGTACAAGGAACACCAGTTGCAATAATAACCAACAGGTATTTAATAGTTATTACACCAGTGTAAGGGTAGCATTAAAAATCAATGACATGATTGTGATACTTCTGCTTCCTTCTAGAAATTTGTTAGAAAAAGTAGGAATCAACTGAAACTTTCTTTGTCAGTTTTCAGAGGCTCTGGCCAAATTACCAGCCCATACACCTACCTCTACAAGCTTGTTTTTCATGTAAAAAGGCAAATAGCATAATTGTTAATTGATGTAGAAAAAGTTCACCCAGAGTATTACAGATCTATTGCTTAAAAAGTGTGTGTGAGTGGGTGTGTGCATGTGTGTCCTCTGAGTGCCTTTTTAGCATTTTTGAAAACTTTCAAGTTTTTAATACTACTCTAAAAACATGTTCAACAATTTAGCCTTTTCTTGCAAATCAATAAAGAGAAAATGTAGAGATAGGGATAAGATGGTTTGGGGAAGTTTAACTGTTAGGAAGTAGGATCATGAAAGAATGGATAAAGACCTTTCTCTTT